GTATTTTTTAAAATGTATTGAAGCTTGCTTTGTGGCCTAAGATACGGTCTATCCTGGAGAATGTTCCATGTGCACTGGAAAGGAATGCATATTGTGTTGTTGAGTAAAGTACTCTGTAGATGTCTATAATGTCAAGTTGGTGGATTGTATTGTTTAGTTTTTCTGTGTTTTTGTTGAGTTTCTTTCCAGTTCTCTTACATTGAAAGTGGTGTATTAAAATTGCCTACTATGACTTCTATAAAGATTTATAGCCTTGGAAACCCAAGTGGGGGTCATTATGAGTTGGAAACAACTCAATGGCAGTGAGTTTGTGGTTTTTGGTTTTTTGAGTATTATGACTATGGAGTCATCTATTTGTCTTTTCAATTTTGTTAAAATCTGATTTATGTATTTTGGGGCTCTTTCATTGGGTACAGAGGTATTTATTATGATTATGTCCTCTTATTCAATTGATCCTTTAATAATTATATAATGTCCTTCCTTGTTTCTTATGGTGGTTTTTGTCTTAAAGTCCATTTTATCAGAAATTAATATTGTCTCTCCTGCTCTTTTTTGATTGCCATTTGTTTGATACATCTTTTTCCAAGCTTTGATTTTTAGTTTATTTTTGTCTTTGTCTCTAAGATGTGTCTCTTGTAGACAGCATATTGATGGGTTATGTTTTGTTATCCAATCTGCAGTTCTCCGTCTCGAGTGGTGCGTTTAATCCATTGACATTCAGTGTAATTATCAACAAGTATGAATTTGTTGCTGCCATTTTGTTATGTGTTTTTCGTGATACTGATTTCTTTGTTCCATACAATTTCCATGCTGATGAATCATGTTACCACTTTATTTGTTGCTATTGCTAAATTTTTTGCTTGTCTTCTTTTTCATTTTGATGTGAAGATTTAATATTTTTCTTTGAAGTTACCCTGTAATTTACAGTTTTCTTCCCAGGTTTAGTACAGTCCATACTATCTAGCAATTGTCTTGACTTGCTCACCATTTAAAAGTTGTGTAAGTACACAGTTTTCCCCTTGTTTTGGTTTGTAGTTTTCCTCATTTTCCAGTTGATGTCTTTAGTTCCTTGTTTGTAATCTTGTAAGCTTATCTTACTTTGGATACTTCCATAACTGGGTTGGTTTCTGGGTTATGTCCTCATGTGTATTAATGGTCAGTTGTTATTTTCTGTTTTTGCTTGTCTCTCCAAAGGACTCCGTTTAGCACCTCTTGTGAGGTTGGTCTGGTTTTAAAAAATTCCCTTAATTTCTACTTATCTGGAAAATGTCCTAATTTCATCATCATCATTTGAGTGACAGTTTTACTGGATATATAATTCTTGGTTGTAAATTTTGTTTTCAGGGTTTTATGTATACCATTTCATTGCCTTCTTGCCTGCATCGTTTCTGCCGAGAAATCTGAGCTCAGTCTTATTGGTTGCTCTTTGTAGATAACTCTTTGTTTTTCCTGTAGTGCTTTTGCAATCAAAATGCCTTAGGTACTATACCACCAGAGCTCCGTGTGTGTGTGTGTGTGTGTGTGTGTGTGTGTGTGTGTCTGCTGCTTTCAGTATTCTTTCTTTGTCTTTGGTGTTGCTGGGTTTGATGATGGTATGTCTTAGTTATTTTCTTTTAGGATCTATCTTGTTTGGGGTTCATTGGTCTTCTTGGATGGATATATTCTTGTCTTTCATCATATCAGGAAATTCTCTTCCGACAGATCTTCAACAATTTTCATTGTGGTTTTGTTTGTTTCTTCCTGTCCAGTTACACGTAGGCTATTCCTCTTGATGGTATTCCATGTGGATCTTAGGCTTTCTTCATTTTGTTTTGACCTTTTTTTCCAGTTGCTCCCTTTCCAAAGAAGTATTGAGGTATCTGTCTTCAGTCTCCTTAATTCTGTCTTCCATTGATTTGATTCTACTCTTTTGCCTATTCAGTGTGTTATCTATCTGAAAATTTAGTATTAATCTTTTGGGTTTCTATCTGTAGATTTTGTATCATTTCTAATTTTTCATTTATTTTATAATTTTATTCTTGTATTGTCTTCTGAAATTGTTCTATTGTTTTGTCTGTGTTTTTCTTGAAGATACCTAAATATAATTCTTTGAAGGTACCTAAATACAATTCTTTTGAATTTTTTATCAGGGAGTTCCAACATTGCTTCTTCCTCTGGGATGTTTTGTGGGTATGTATTCTCGTCCCTTGTTTCTCCTGCTTTATCTTGCTTCTTTGTGTGGACTGTGACGGTCTGTTGTCTCGGAGACATTGTGATGCTGTTGTATTTATATGTAATTGGTGGTTGTATGGTGGAGTGATTCACCCAGGATTTTTCTTTTCTTTGTTTTGTTTGGATGTATCTGAGTAAGCAGGGTACTGTGCTTATCTATTTGCTTTTTGGTAGTACTTATGTATGTACCACCTGTCTTCTGGTGAGTGTGGTAGAGAAGAGTGGGTGCGCAGATCTCTGTTAGCTATTTGCCAAGAGCAGTTAAGGGTGAGTCAGGCTCATATTGGCTGTTGTGTATCATTGGCTAGTTAACGCAGAAGCAAGTGGTGGCCCTCACTCAGTAGATGGGGCTCCAGGAAGTGTGGATATTGTTGGGTTGTATGGGCATGGTTGCGGTCTCCCACTCAGACAAAAATAATAATCAGAAAAAAACACCAAAAAAGTAAAAATGAGGGCAAAAAATACATACCACATGAACACACAGGAACAATCACTTTAGGAAAAAAAAAAAAGATAAAAGACAATAAATGAGATGAAATATTTAAAGAAGTACTTTAAAAAGAAAAGAAATAGAAATAGAAGGGAAAAAAAAAAAACCCCACTGAATCTAGAGGGGGGGAATAAGAGTAAAGAGCTAGAATAAGAGAGAGTTATGAGAAAAAAAATGGGAAAAATGCAAAAAGAAAATCAAGGGATAGGAAGAACCACAAGAAAGAAAAAAATGGGAACCAGGAAAAGAGAAAAGGAAAAAAAAAAAAAAGCTCAAAAGTAGAGAGTTTTCTGTCATTAGCCTCCAGTATGCCTGCGCTGTCCTTGGCAAGCAGAGCCATATATTATTCAGTCCCTGCAGTCTGAATGAGAACGGTATCTCTTTAAATATCCAAAATGGCTGCACCCTCCAGCTAGCTGAAAGTCCACAGCTAAGTTTGTCTCTTTTTTTGCTGTTTCCCATTTTAGTCATTAACCACCAGTGCCATTGTCCATGCAGCCCTTGGTGAGCAGGGCCAACTTTTAGGTTAATTCTTGGGTCCTTGTAAATATCCAGACTATCTTTGCCATCAAGATAGCCGACAGTCTGCAGCTCCATTTGTCTCATTCACTGTTTTCCTTCAGGTTCTTCTACAGTTGGTGTTTAATTAGACTTCTGTATCCCTCCTTTCAAACTTCAGGGCTCTGGGATTATCATCTGTATCTGTGTCAATTGGTTTCTCTTTTCTTTTTTGAAGTGGGTCTGTGTAGCTTGTCTGCCTGCTCCACCATCTTACTAGAGTCCCAGAATTAATATTCTTGATAGTGATTAAAAAAACCTACTCCATTTCAGCACCCAAACATTACATCCTCATAGGACCAGTGGCTCACTACAATAGTGGTTCTTGGAGAATATGAAGTAGGTTTATTTCTCCAACTTTTTTTGTGTGGAAAAGTGGGATTCAAAGAGGTGATAACCAGCTCGATATCAGTGTCATTGAGTAGTACTCCTGGAGAGTAGAGATGCTGCCTTTTTGACCACTGTTTCCTTGGAACCTTACACACTGCCTGATAAAATATCTTATGTATTTGCTAATATAATGAAAATTAACACAAAACCTACCCCTGTTTTAGGGATGACGTATAATGCAATTGCTTTGGTATTGAAATTTAGTCACTGAATTAAACCTGGTCTATGGACAGAATAGACTTAATAATTTAGATGTTGGTAAGTCATGCTTTGAATATGGATGTATTATTTGTGTTATATTTCCTTAAGGAAAATAGAAAACAAAGTTTTCTTAATGATTGGAGATTTATTTGGTGAGGGGAACCCTATAATAAACTAATACTTACAGTCAAGAAAACCCTGACATGATAATCATAATGACCAAGAAACAGACATTCTCTAATTCATCAGGAAAATATTAAACTGTTCTGGATGAAGCATATTTTTTTTCTGATTCTTTAAATCCAGGGATGGATTGAAAATTTTTATTCACTTATGGTGTGATAAATAAAAATGGTAAAACCAAAAACCAGATTCACAGCTGTCGAGTCAGATCCAACTCACAGCGATGCCTCCTTGGGTTTCCAAAGCAGTGTCTACAGAAGTAGATTGCCCAGTCTTCCTTCCAAGGAGCTGCTGGTGGGTTTATGCCACCAGAGGTCCTATGGTGTGTTAAATAAGAATGGTGTGAATGGGAATTTACTATATAACAAAGATTATAGATACTTTCTGACTTTTTTCCCTCTTGGTGTCATAATGAAGTGTTAATAGTTGCACTAGCCTTGTGTTTTATATAAGTCTGTTTTCTGTTATACATTTAATGAAGATAAAAATTAAGAGTCCCAAATACTTTAGGTTCTAAAATTCCTTAAAAGCATGATTATGAAACTAAGAAAATAGATAATCTAGTAATTAGATTTAAGGAAAAAAAAAACTGCTATCAAGTCAGATCCAACTCATAGCAACCCCTCCTTGGGTTTTGAGGTGGTATCACCATGGAAATAGATTGCCCAACATTTCTTCCAAGGAGTGGTTGGTGGGTTTGATCCGCCAGCCTTCTGGTTAGCAGTCAGATGCCTTAGGCACTATGCTCCCAGAGCTCCCATTAGATAAAAGTCTTTGTAAAGAATAAAACTTCTAATCTGATTTGGTTTAATTTTAATGAAAGTATCAAAGGCAATGTTGAATATTTATTCCTTGTAAGTATGTAAGTAGTAAGGTACCAAATTCTTAAATTATTTTGATTAGAATTTGGTTGACTACATATATATAATACTGAAACCTCTGAATTTCTAAATATTTATATTTACAGGCACGGAATCAAAAGTTTCTGTAGGAATCTTAAATATAAAACTTGAGATGTACCCACCACTCAATCAAATGTTATCTCAAGAAGTAGTGAACACACAGGTAAATAATTTCAAATATCTCTGTGTTTGTTATCGTAGTATATTTACGTACCTCCTGACCCTGGAAAGTACTCTCTTTTTAGAAAGTGATCATTTAGTAATTCGTTTTTAGATTATCACATCAAATGTTAACAAAAGAAATGAGATAGAAAACAAAGGCAAGATTGTTCACCTAGAAGAATCTGTAATTTAGTTTGGGAAATTCCATGAATATTCATTGAAATATCACAAGAATTGCAACATAAGCATTATAAAGCTGAAAAAGGGGGTAGAGGAATAAAGTAGGGACAGTACTGGGATGGGATCTTACTTGTCATTTCATAGGCATTTATGGAGGGCTTGTTATGTCATTTCGGCTCTGTATTCTTGTGGTGGACGTATATAGCCTTTCTGGAATGTGATGGAAAATGCTTTCTTTCCTAATTCCCCTGAGGTCTCTGAGAAATTACTTTTCCTCATGATCATCCCTTCAGATTAAGTTTGTCGCTTCTGTTCTCTCCAGTCTTAGGGTATAGTTTATGGTTATGCACAGACTTGTTGGGCTGGCACTTTACTCCTTTATGGCTTTACTCCATCCTGCCCCTATCATATTGCTTGTGTTATACATCTGATGGAAATTAGTAATAATTTTTTAGATCTGAAGCTTGCTTAAGTTTATTCTCGTATTTCACACATACAAATTGTTTCTAATTTTCCGGGTTTTCTCTTTAAAATCATACTGCTGTTACTGCATTTTTTTATTGATTATAAACCAACGAGTTTTACTGATCTTAAACAGATACTAAAAATTGCTATGCACTGTTCTAGAAACTGAGCATATAGCTGTGTATGAGCCAGACAGCTTGTTTGCAAGGAACTTAGCTTCTAATGGGAAGATGAACAGTAAACACATTATCAGACAGTAGAAAGTGATATGTGGTAATTGTTACTGGGTGATGTGAGAGAGTGGCTATTGGGAAGCTATTTTACATCACGTGATTAGGAAAAAGTATGAACAGCAAGAAGAAGCCAGCCATGCAAAGACAGGGGCCAACCATTCCAGACAGTGTAAACAACCTAGTTCCCAAGGTCTTAGGCAAGAACAGAAGGAGCTCTATGTGGCAAAAGTGTAGTATGGGTGAGGGGGGATGAAGAAATCTACATTGAATTGAACCAAATTTTACAAGATTGTGCAGGTAGTTTGCAGTATGATAGGAAACTATTGACGTATTTTAAGTAAGGAAAGGACAGAATATGATTTATTATAAAAATTTCTCAGTTGGGGAAAGAAAAGATCATTCTATTGTATGGAAAATGAAATTACTAGGGGCAGGTGTAGGAACCGGGAGGTCAGCTAGGATCTTTTACATAGTCCAGAGAAGAGATGATGGTGGCTTGTGTTAGGGTGGTCATAGAGATGGAGAGAAGTGGATAGATTTGTTATGTATTTTGTGAAAATTAATTAAGGAGAATGAATAGAAATTGATAAAAATAGTTTTTTGTTTGTTTGTTTTGTTTATTAATTTCAAGCTTGCTTTGGAACGTCAGAAAACTGCAGAGAGAGAACGATTGTTTCTTGTGTATGCTAAACAGTGGTGGAGAGAATATTTGCAAATTCGACCCTCACACAATTCACGGCTGGTGAAGATTTTTGCACAGGTTTGTAAACTGTATTTGAAAAGTACTTATATCTGAGCTCTACTGTGTATGTGTAAATTTAATTTTATTTGAATTTGGAAAATCTAGTTCAGACAAATGGAAGTTTATAAAATAGAATGCTGATTTTCTAATACTCTGATTTACTGAATAGGTGAGTGACATAATACTATATATGTGTGTATACATGTCATATTTTTATTACAATCAATTTTTACATTTTTAAACCTTTTCTGTACCTATTTTATTTAAAGGAGATGAAAATTAATTTTGTTTAACTGGAGTATGCCCTTGCTTGATATTTAGAAGTAAATAATTATTCACTAGGACAACTGTCATTTATATGTAAAGACTGTGGCATCAGGATTAGAGGAAGACTGTGATATGTAAATGATACAACCTTCCTTGCTAAAAATGAAGATGATGTGAATCACTTATTGCTCAAAGCCTTCAAAGTTGAGGTGGATTCCACGTCAATATAAAACAAAAATCCTCACAACTGTACCAATAAGCAATGTAATGAAACATGGTGTGGCACTTCCTTAAAAATCTAGAAATAGAAGTATCATATGATCCAGCAGTCACACTCTTGGGTATACACCCTAAAGAAATAAAAGCCATGGTACGAAGAGACATAGATAGCCATCTTCACTGTAGCATTATGCACAGTAGCAAAAAGGTAGAAACGACCTAGCAAAAGAATATATAAGAAAACTGTAGTACGTACACACAATGGAATACTGTGTAACAGTAAAGGATAATGACAAAGCCACAAAACATCTCACAACGTAGATGAATTTGGAGGACATTATGCTTAGTGAAGTAAGTTAATCACAAAAAGTCAAATATTATATGAGTTTTTTTTTTTTTTTTAAGTTTACAGAAAGAAAACATTTTTTGACAATAGAAATTGGATAGGAAGGAAAGGAGGGAAAATTATTAACTAGATAGAAGACATGTTAATAGTGAAGGGAAAGGCAGTATACAACATGGAGGAAGTCATTACAACATGGCCAAAGCAAAGGAAGACACTGAGAGCAATGTAAGAATAAAGGGTAACTGTAGTAACTAAAGGGGAGTTCTGGTGGCGTAGTGCCTAAGGCATTTGACTGCTAACCGGAAGGTGGCAGTTCAAACCTACCAGCCACTCCTCAGAAGGAAGGTTGGGCAATCTCCTTCCATAGAGATACTACCTCGGAAACTGAAGGAGGGGTTGCTATGAGTGGACAGCAGTGAGTTTGGGTTTTTTTTCTTAATAGTAATTAAGGAGCTCTGGTGGTATAATGCTTAAGGCATTTGGCTGCTAACCAAAAGATAAGTGCTTAGAACACACCAGCCACTCCATGGAAGAAAGATGAGGCATTCTACTTCCATAAAGATTTACAGCCTTGGAAACCCAACAGGTGCTATAACTCAGAATTGACTCAAAGGCAGTGAGTTTGGTTTTTGGTTTGGATGGTAATTAACATGGACAGTTTTGTAATGCTAGCAATTATGTAATATTATGTAATTTTGTAATACTATTAAAAAAATACTAATACATTAATATTTTGTGAATGGATATGTAGGTAGATATGTATGGTAAAGAGGTGTGAGAAGGTGTAGAAGGACACCTATCTGCAGATAAAAATTTGGTACTGGATATTTGTACACACATAATTTTAAGTGCTGCATCTATATTAAAATAGGCAATAGAGCAAACAAGGGACACAGTCATGAAAACTTAGGCATAGCCAAACCCCTTGCAGGATGAAGTTCCTAGCTTGAAGGTAAGGGATTGTAGACTCAGAGGACCTCTATATCATTTGGCACAACACTTTCCATACAGCATTTCACATACACTTTGTCTCATGACATTGACTACAATTTTCCACAATGCAACGGCTCCCCTACCATTTCCTCCCGATAGTTACCTCTTCCCTGTGTCCATTCCTTCATGCACTCCTGCCCCCTGAGCTGTCTCCCTGTGCATAAGCAGCCCTTCTTTCTCCCATGATTGTTCTCTCCAAGGAGTGTATCTACCTCAGGTAAATGTTCACCTCATATGCCTGTCTTTTGTTTGGCTGGAAGCCATAGGTGTAGGTTCAGTTTCAGACCTGAAAGGCAGCTAGGGGCCATAGTCTCAGTGGCTCCACCAGGCTCTATCAGATCAGCAAACCTGGTCCCACAACCCCCCCTTTTTTTTTCCCAATCATTTTGAGTTTTGCTCCACATTGTTCTCCCTCTCTATCCAGGATCTCCTATGTAGATCCCCTTCTGAGTGGTTGACAGTGGTAGCTGGGCACCATCTAGCTCTTCTGGTCACATACTCATATAGGCTGCAGATCGCATTTTGTACCAGTCGCTAGGACTAATTGTTTCCATGAATCTTTGGTTTTCTTCATTCTTTTTTGCTCTGGATGAGGAGAGACCTATCATTGCATCAAGATGGCTGCTTGCGTGCTTTTAGGATCCTAGTCACTACTCACCATAGTAGGATGTGGAACAATGTTTTTGTGTAGTATGTTATGCCAATTGAGCTTGATGTCGCCTGCGACTATGGTCCCGAGCCCACAGGTTAAAATACTCAATCCCTATGGGTAGCTGGCTGTGCCTCAGAGGTGACTACAACCTTGTCCCTTGTCAGTTATTCCATAGCCCTGGGAATTCAAATCATACAAATACACTTATAGGACCATTGTATGCCAACCCTATATATGGTCTTGGGTACACTCCCTGGTTCATGTTGTTGTTGTTATGTGCCGTCGAGTTGGACCCAACTCATAGCGACCCCTCCCTTGGGTTTACAAGGCAGTATCACATGGAAGTAGATTGTCCCATCTTCCTTCCAAGGAGTGGCTGATGGATTTGAACCGTCAGCCTTCTGGTTAGCAGTCAAGTGCCTAAGGCACTATGCTACCAGAGGTCCCCCCTCCTTCATAGACATACCTAATAGCTTAGCCCATCTACCCATCTATCCAACCATATACCCATGTTTGCCTTCACTGACAATGCAGTACTGCATATGCAAAAGGGTTCATCTTTTTTGTCTCTACCGCCCATGTACCTCTCTCCGTCTTCGTCTTCCTCAATGCCACCATGTTGATCGCTCACATTTGGTACATTACCCTTCTCTTCACCCAGATCAATACTTATCTCTACCTATTTAACAGTGTTCCCTACCCTGGCCTCCCACTCCTGGTAACCAACAAAGAAAATTTCCTTCCATAGATAAACCTTTCTGACTTTTACAATAATGGACCAATACAATATTTGTCCCTCTGTGATTGACTTATATCACTCAGCACAGTATCCTCCAAGTTCATCCACGTTACGTGGTGTCCTGCAGACTCTAGGCCATTCTCCAGGGTGGAACAGCATTCTGTTGTGTGTATGCACCAAAGCTTGGTCATCCACTCCTCAGTTGATGGACACCTAGGTTGTTTGCATCTTTTGGCTGTTGTAAATAATGCTGCGATGAACATGGGTGTGCATATGTCTGTTCTTGTCATGGCTCTCACTTCTTTAGGATATATACGTAGTAATGTAATGGCTGGGTCAAATGGTATTTCTAATTCCAACTTTTGAAGGAATCACCATACTGCTTTCCACAGTGGTTGTACCATTTTAAAGTCCCACTAGTAGTGTATGAGAGTCCCAATCTCTCCACATTTTCTCCAGCATTATTTTCTGCCTTGTTGAGCTTTGCTGGAGAAAGATGGTATCTCATTGTTGTTTTGATTTGCATCTCTGTAATAGCTAATGATCGTGAACATTTCTTCATATGTTTGTTGGCCACCTGAATATCCTCCTTGGTAAAGTGTCTATTCATGTCTTCTGCCCATTTTTAAATTGGATTATTTGTCTTTTTGTTATTGAGATATTGGAGTTTTCTGTAAATTCTGGTTATATACTCATGTTCAATTGATCCTTTAATCATTATGTAATGTCCTTCCTTGTCTCATATGGTGGTTTTTGTCTCAAAGTCAGTTTGCTCAGAAATTAGTGTTGCCACTCCTATTCTTTTACAGTTGCCATTTGCTTGATTTATCTTTTTCCAACCTTTGAGTTTTAGTCTATTTTTGTCTTTGTCTCTAAGGTGTAACTCTTGTAGACAGCATATTGATGGGTTTTGTTTTCTTATCCAGTCTGCAACTTAGCTGTCTTTATTTTTTTTAATACATTTTATTGAAATATAATTTATGTACAGTGAAATACACAAAACTAAAATGACATGTGTTTTTTTTTTTTTTTGCAGTGTTCCTTCCTATCCCCTCCCACCCCTGGCAACCAACAAAGAAAGTTTCCCTCCATATATAAACCTTTCCTTGACCCTCCACAACAATGAACTAATACTATATTTGTACTTCTGTGATTGACTTATTTCACTCAGCATAATGTCCTCCAAGTTCATCCATTTTATGCAGTGTTTTGCAGACTCCACATCATTCCTTAGTGCTGCATAGCATTCCAGTATGTGTATGTACCATAGTTTGGTCATCCACCCCTCTGCTGACAGGCACATAGGTTGTTGCCATCTTTTTGCTATTGTAGATAGTGCTGTGATGAACATGAGCGCGCATGTATCTGTTTCTATCCTGGCTCTCACCTCTCTAGGATATATACCTAGTAATGGGATTGCTGGGTCAAGTAGTATCTCCAATTCCAACTTTCTAAGGAATCGCTGTATTACTTTCCACAGTGGTTGTGTCACTTCACAGTCACACAAGCAGTGTATGAGAGTCCCAATCTCTCCAGAAACCCACCAGCATTAGTTATTTTCAGTCTCATTGAACCTTGCCATCAGTGCTGGGGTGAGAGGGTATATGTCATTGTTGTTTTGATTTACATCTCTCTGATGTCCAATGATTGTGAGCATCTTTTCATATATTAGCTGACCACCTGAATGAATATCCTCCTTGGTGAAGTGTCTATTCATGTCTTGTGCCCATTTCTTAACTGGATTGTTAATTCCTTTGGTGTTAAGGCATTGGAGTTTTCCATCAATCTTAGAGGTAAGTCCC